TTTTCCTAGCAAAACCCCTGGATTTGAGAACAGGTAGGTGACTTCCAGGTAGGGGACTCTCCTGACTAAAATGAAAATTATTCCCACAAGGATCCAGAGTGCTGTGGGAAGTCAGAYATGAATTCTGCTACACAGCGACTGCAGCTACACAAATTCATTTGTAAGCTGCRATTAAACGTTCTACTTATGCATCCACTATTCCTGCAGGCACAGGCTGGGAAATCCTGCGACTGCATGACTAAGCAGGCGACAGGGAATAGCCAGGAACACAGGCTGACACTGCAGCTGCCCTCGAGCACACTGCYGTGGTGACAGTCACACACTGGCTGTGACACAACACACAACTACCTTCAGCTTTCCCTCTAATCTCCCCGTCAGACCTGCACAGCCAGAGCTCCCAAGGGGATGCTGGAGAAGCCAGGGAATATTCCAAACTGGATTTAGCAGTTGATAGTAAAGGCTAGTACTGCAACGCAAAAAAAACCAATTTCACCCTAGCACATAATTCCAAGCCTTCACCAGAATCACCAGCATCTCGCCCACCTCCATCCACGGGGAAAGGACAAATGGGATTGTGCCTTCCAGACTCAAAAGGGACTCCTGGCTACCAAAAACCCTGTTGTGTAAGGGAAGCTGCTGCTTGCTTACACTGGTCTGACTCCTTCAAAAGCTTCTGCTAAAGCCTAACAGGAGGAGCAGGGAGAAGCTCCTGYTCCCGCACAACCTGCCCAAGGAAAACACTCCTCAGCCTATTTCCAGGTCTTCCCCAACCAGCACAAGGGCTCCATCCAGCGTGCAGCCAAGACACAGGAGTGCAGCTTCCTCACCTTTGTGGTTCTGCAGACTWAAAAACAAACCAGAAACAAACAAAACCCCACCATGGCGAACGTTTCCTCTGGCCCAGAAGAAGTCAGCACTTCCCAMGGCCAATTTCCACACAAATGTTTTCACCATCATTTTGGCTACAAATCTAATCAGAGGGAAAAAGAGCCCCAGGTGTTTAACAAATGCTTTTTCCACTTTCACCTTCAAGCACAGCTCAAACTCTCAGAGCCCGAATTAAAGGCTAAAATGGCTTGAGTACAGAGAGCCCCCAGACTTGGGAATTTCAGATGGACAACTTTCACATCCTGTGTAAAAATCAAAATACTCTGCCTGTTTTCTACCGCTACAAAGTAATTATTTCTGCTTAAGGATATCCAAAAAACCAAGCAAGCCAAATAAAGTCTTAACGCTATACCCATGTGAAGCYAAACTTTTTTTACACATTTCAGCAACTGTGCTTTGACTTAAAAAACTGAAGCTCAGACAATTACCCTGCCCACCCTTTACACARTAAGGGGTAAATACACACAACCAGGATCTAGGCTCAACACACAGCGGTTAATTCTGCTCCAGTCTGTAAAAACACACCTTGCCAGCTGGAACTGTGATGGATTTCCACACCCAATGGAATAAAGACTTGTAGGAGGAAAGCTAAGGAGTTACCAAAACACAAGAATAAYAGCAGCCTCCGAGACACAGCTGCTGGCAAACAAACCCGGACAGCTCCGGCAGGAAGGGGAATTCATCCGCACAGGTGTGTGACCTCCTTTCCTCACTGCTTCATTCTGCCAYGATTCTCTGCTGCCAGATCAAAAACAACACTACACAAAGTCCTTTACTTGGACCTGTTTCAGAAGTCATCACCAGGTAAGGAGCAAAGCCCTCTAACTATTTTTCTTTTGCTTTTGGGGTTTTTTTTGTTGTTTTAAACAAGAAATTAGTATATAGATGTACAAATTTCACAGTTTGCACCGGAAAACAAAAGTTCTGCTCCAGGTCACAGATCCCCCCAGTCGGGGCTTTTGTTCAGACCCTACTCTCTCCCACAGTCGTGAACAATTTTCTCTTTCACCCCTGAAGATATCAGTGTAAAAAAAACACAATCCACTAAAGCCAGAAAAGAGTAAGTGTGAATATCTGAACCCTCTGATTTCCACACAAATTTCCCAGGTYTCTTGAGGATCTACACTGTATTTGCAAGCACAGAACAGAACTGAACCTAGGATTTGCCACCTACTTGGGACTGCTGTGGAACAAGAGCTATCACACCATGGAGCAGCCCAGCCTCATGCTCCAACAGCCACAAAAAGCCCGAGTGCTTTTTGGGACAGCAAGATTTTGCAGGYTGGGCAAGTGCCAAGAGCAGCAGAAGCTTATCAGAGTTCCACAATCTTGAGAGAGACCTCAGAGAGAAACCACACATCACCCAGCACCAAAACATGCTTTAAATGGAAGATCCAAAAGGAAGATCAGGCTAACCCATGGGACAGCCCAGACTTTCTAGATGGAACACAAAACTAGGAGTAATTCAGCTCTTACCTTTACCAGCAACTTTATCTGTGCACCTGAAAAAACACAAAAGCAAGTGTAAGAGCCAGACTCTGTGGGACAGGGGCAGAAACAAGTAACTGAATGARGTGGAGATGAGCCCAAACTCCCCAGAGTCCCGGTGCCTCTCTATCAGATCATTGTTTTCAACCCCTCAAGCCAGGGTGGATTATTTCAGCCGCAGGAAGCTGAGGAGAACTATAGGAACATCCAACAGCAAAGGCCCAGATCTGCCAGAACAGTTATGACCAGTTCAGGGGGATTTTGTGCATAGAACAGGGCAGAACAGCTGCAYTTCCAAAGGCTCCAAAGGTGTCCTGCTCAGGATCGAAGGTGCAGCGAATGCAGCATCTCCTCGSGGGAAGGTGGATCCCACCGCCACCCTCACCCAGACCTTTGGCAGACGGAGCCAGACCGCGCTGGCGCCGCGGGGCACCGGGACGGCGGCCRCTGCCCGAGGGCGCTGCGCAGCCGGCGGTTCCCGGGACACTGCCCTTCCTGGGAAGGGACCCGCGGGGAAGGCCCAGCCCGGCCGGAACAAAGGGGCGGCGGCGCGGGGCACCCCGCGGCCAGAGGCGGCCCCGGGGCCCAGGCCCGTTCGCGCGGGTAGGGCA